GGTTCCGGGGACGAAAGTGGCCTCTCGGAGGGTCATGCAAATTTGCATAGTTTTGCCAGGTGGAACCTTGGCCCGTAGCACTATAGACTACACAGGAAATACTGCCATTCTATTGGCCCTCAGGTGTAATGCTGCAAATCTATTGGTCGAGCGTTGTCCACGTGTGCATCATTGGCCTTGTGATGTACTTTAAATGGCCTGTATATGCCATAATTACGTTGTTTTGGGGGTTTCAAGTGGTTTGCCATGGTTGTAATGGGTAATTGCATGGGGCCCCCGGGCGGGACACATGTATGCCGTGTACACATGTACACGTCGCCAGGTGGATTCGTGTACGTACACATGTACACGCATCCAGGTGTATGCACATGAGGGTTTACAGTTTTACAGTGTCAGACTGTTTGCGATCCTGCGCGTGTCCGAGTACAGTACATGTGAATCAAAAGTACAACAAGTACTTCTCGCGAGAGGAATACAGTTGTGCGATTATTCTGTGTACGCGTCACGCTGTATGCGAGTCTTGCGTGAGCACGCGCCGTTGCACTGTGCTCTCGTCATGGTGCGCCGTTGGATGCAAGTTCATGACAGTACTCGTGTGATTTACATGTATTCTCATGTGAGTTGTGTAGAAAGTCTGGATGCACATTGTTATAACTTGCCATAACTGTCTGACAGTGCTTGGCGAAATTAGTAAGGTGAGAAACAAGGATACGTATGGCGATTGTGATATGAAAGACGTTTGCGTTGTTGGAAATAGACAAGTGCCAAGTTGTTCGTTGCACAACAATGAAGTCTGGCATGACTGGATGCAGATTAGTAAGGTGTGAAACAGTTGCATGCATAGGGCCATGGTTTACAGTCATTTGGAATGTGTAGAAATAGTTGTGAGCTAATAGTTACGAATCGATTCGTAAGGTGGAAATCGAACAGTATGGTCGGGCCACAAGAGGACCGCGCTTGGTCGCGCATAGTAGAGTATGGTTTACTGGGAGTCGGAGTAGAGCGATAGTGTAGCACTCGAAGTGTATAAGTATCGCAGGAAAACGGCTTCAAAGTAAACCTCGGCACCAACTCCTTCACTCACACACATCAACCTGCCTTCGTTCTTTCCCTTGCCCCTCCGAACCTACCATTAGTGTTAACGTATTGAGTGAGGAAAGCGAAGAGTGAGGAAAGAGAAGGGAAAGGAGGAAAGAGGAAGGAAGACGGAAAGGAAAGGAAAAGAGAGCAGAGAGAAGGGAGGTTGCAAACACAGAGAGACGCACAGAGGACGAAGAGAGGAACAAAACAATCATGAGCTCGAGCCCTAAGCACGAGTGAGCGGGCAAACAAGAGCGGGGTGGCGAGAGCAGAGCAGAGCAGAGTAGAGCAGAGCGGAGAGCAGGGCAGAGAGCAGAGCAGAGAGCAGAGCAGAGAGCAGAGCAGAGAGCAGAGCAGAGATCAGAGCAGAGATCAGAGCAGAGATCAGAGAGCAGAGCAGAGAGGCGGACTGGACGGCGGACAGACAGGACGGAACGAGTGAGGAGCAAGCAGTGTACCCCACGTAGATGTAGGTGGAAGTGAGTGTAAACAACTCGCGATCGCGAGCGAGAGTGTAACCAACGTAGACGTAGGTGGAGGAAGTGTAAACAACTCGCGATTTCCCACGTCGATTTACCACGTCATGCCTTGGCCACGCCACGTCATGTCTTTGCCACGTCTTGTGCGTGTAGCAACTGAGAGAGAGATCTGCCATGCACACCACAGGGTGTACTCAGGGTGTACTCGGGCGTACCACCCAAGGGTCACCCTGAAGCTGCAAAAAGCCACCATCTCGAGCATGCAAGTACTGTAGAGAGAAACAGAACTGTGTGTGGACGAGAGTAGCGGAAGAGAGAAGTTGGAGAAAATGGAGAGGTGACGAAGACCGTTGGGGAAGAGGCAGCAGGCAGAAGTGCAATTTTCTGTCCCGCAAGGGCGGGGGTCCGGGGCAGAGCCCCGGTGGGGTCTGGGGCGAAGCCGCGAATGGTTCTTACGGTGTAAGCACAGCACAGCCAATAGGAAGGCTGGATTATAGGCTAGATTATGCGTCCTTCTTGGACGCTGCGATGCTCCGCTGGATGAACGCCCGGGCTTCCATGCTAAGGGATCTGGTATTGCCCAAGAACTGGTTCACGCCATTCCATGTCTCGACCCGCTTCTACCTCTTCACTTCCTCCGACATGTAGAATAGTATGGCAAGGCGCCGAACCATTGATTCCACGGCATCAGTGCGTACCCAAAAAGACGGGTGCATACTGTCCGTCAGCAGAAGCAAGTGTTGTCCCAGAGACGTGATCTCTCCCCTTAGACCTGCGTCCTGACCGTCAGATTTTAAGCACATGAGAGCCTTCTCGATGCGTCTCTGTAGTAGCGCCCCGTTGCGGGTCCATCGCAATAGCTCAGTGGCTGTAATGCGCTCATACGGTGCGAAGGGGGTCGGTACGAGGCGCTTCTCTTTGGACCAGAACAGCGAGCGTGCCAGCACAACAGCCGTCGGATGTCGGTTCCCTTCTGCGGTTGGAGTGTATCCCAATCCCTTAAGACGGCAGAAGTGCTCAATAACGTCTTTTTCTTTTAGGAAGACTGCGAGGTAGGCGACGAGATTTTCCTTCAATGATATCTCGGTGGTGTACTCCTCCACCTTCCTGGCAAACTCCAACCCGCCCCGGTGAACATACATCTTCCATGTAGCGGGGAAGTACAGAGTGAGGGCGTCATACTCCTTCGACTGCGCAGGAGAGAGACCAGCTGGCCGGATTAGGGCTGATGGTCCCTGATGAGGACGGAACTCGTCCATCTCGCGATCGTCATCCTCCCCATCTTGAATGTCAGTGATTCCCCCATTGACATCAATGTCGAGGAACCTTACGGCATTCTCAGCTCGCTGCATCCCTTCAGCGACGCTGAATCCCTGGGAGCCGGCAATGGGCACGGTGGGTGTAGGGTCTGCACCCACCGAGTCAATGGGATTAGATACCGGGAGCGGCGGCGGTGGGACACTTTGTACTTGTGCAGTAGCATGATGTTGGTCGGCAACAGGGGGACCAATTCCTTCCGCCGGAGAAGCTTGGTGAACTGGATTGACGCCCGTCGTGATCTCATGGAACACAGTCTCAAGTACAGAGCGTAATTCTGTGAGATCGTGGCCGGAGTAGCGCTCCTCGGGTATACTTAGAAGAGATAGAAAACCTGTGCAATCCACCCGTCTCAGACTTCGGATGGCGGTGGGGACGAACTCCCTCTTGAACGCCTCTTTGATACGTTGAGAATCTAGGGAACCAAAGCGATCTTTGAACCCAGCCAAAGACCGCACACCATGAACCAACGTCCAAAGAGTGAGCACACGAGACCTCAGCGGGCCTTCTTCTTCATCTTGCAGGAACATTCCCTCGATACCTGGACCCTGGACAGCGGCCGCATCTAAAGCGGATGCTAAATTCTCCAACGCGTCGAGACTAGGGTCATGAATATCCGTCCCCAAGCGTAGCAGCTGGCCAACGGCACTCAGTCCCTCCTTATTATTGATCTGGCTCTTCCAGAAACGCGTGTTCCGGGAAAAACAGTCTCCAGCGTCTCCAAAAGTTGCCTTGAAACTGTACGAACGGCGATACCACCTAGTCAAACGGGTAGCAATAGGGCCAGGCCCGACACCCCAAGAGGCTGGTACAAACCCGAAGGCCGGTCCCGCGCTGACCAAATTTGTGGCAAGCGTCACAGCATCCTCGACGTCAGCGGCAACAAGCCACGGGAGGAGCACATCTCTCCAATCTGCGGCATAGAACTGGGCGAGGAATGACTCCTTCGGCGCGTTTATAATAACATCCATGTTGCATAGCCCCTAGAAAAGTCGCTACCGGGGTGACAGGTGGTGTCTTACTACCTCATCCATTCGCATATGTACCCATCCAAAGTCCAATCGGCAGAGAGGGGGAGGGTTTTCTCCCCGCTCAGGAATCGTACCGCACCAATCTTGCCGAACGAGATCCTGTGAGGGTCACCTAAATTCCTAGATTTCCCCTAAAATCTTCCTCTTCTGCATAGTTTCTCCATTCCTGACCCTCTCCTCGGGTCACGGCACCTGTTACCTCGGTCCTCTCCTTCAGCAGAATCTTATTCGCAGAATTTATATTATTGACCGCTGGTGGGGATGCTTTTTTGGTTTTCGGTGGGCTAAAATTTGGAAATAGGTTGATATAGCCCACTGGTGGTCGTGCTCTAAGTGCTTTCACGCAACTGCGATATTTGAGGTACTGTACGCAGTTACCCTAATGTGTACCTTATCATATACCTTACATCTTTATTTACAACAGAGCTAAGACCCCGAAGGAGCCGGGTTGTGGGCAGGCAGCGCAGCGGCATTAATACAATATGTGATGACCACTGAGCAAAAGGGGAGGTGCCGTTGGCCAACGACATGAGAGAGGAATGACTGGGAGTCATATGAAGGAATCACCACACAATACACACCATGCCGCCGTCCGCCGGCGAGTACCTGGTAACGGTGCACTCCCCAGCCGCTGTCTGCCCTCTGTCAAGCATGATAAATTACGGTGTGATCGACCAATACATGGGCGTATTGTGTAGATGCTCCTCAAACAAACGAATGTATTTTGGCAGAAGGAATGGGCTAATTGGGAACGTTGGAGAGCAGCTGCGCGACAGAAATACAGGTGTTCTTTACTCATTTCCAGAGTTTCCTAACTACAGGAAAAGTATTTGAAGAAAGGGCACCAAGGGTTTCTTTTTTGCAAAACGAGAATTCAAGGGCATTCGTGAGACAGAACGAAGAATACTTCAAATCGAGGAAACATTTTAACAAACGCGTCTCTACAATTCCTTCGAGTTTGTCGAAGGAGGACTTTGACGATGAGTTTCAATATAATACAGGAGTCTACTTGCCGTTGTTATTGCAATACATCCACGGGTCATCACACTTCATCAACCGCTCCCACCTGGTTCGCATTTGCCCCATTGGCCTGTCACCGGCGCCTCCCGCCACCCTCTGTGACTTGATGCGCTCGAGTATCATTCCTGTGTGACGCGGGTGGATTTTGCCCGACTGACACTGGCTTTTTTGCCCACACCACCCCGGGTGAGTATGGCCGTGATGTGCACTCTTTCAATCCCTTGGCAGAGCATCCGCGGGGCGCACTGGTCTCCTTCTGTGGCGGCGGAGCCTTCTGCCGCAGCGGAGGGAAGTCCGCTTCACAAAACGGCGATCTGTCTTTGGGCGCCTCAGCCCTTCTGTACCTGTCTCGAGGATCGTGGTGGCCGTCTCTTCTGTTCCAACGCCGCGAACGGTGCGGTCCCTTTCGTTTTGCACTACAGGACTGATCGAGATCCATTGAACGAAAACGTTCTTGTGTTGTCCTCCAACTTGAGATGTCGTAAACAACCTTTGGAGCTGTTTGAACTGAAGTCTCGACGCTGCGACGACAGCGACCCTTCGCTTCGTGCCTGAGTTGTATGGCCTTGGTATGAAGTTGCACTCCTGCAGTGGATGTATTCATATGGCCACGATTCGTACTCGAGTTCTCATCCGAGCTTACATCCGAGGCCACACGCTCGATTGCAGCCCCCCTTCGTTTGCAGTAGTGACCTTGAGAGCTGCGATGAACTTCGATCCCCGATTGTCGTCCGTGCGTCTCTATTCGATGAGCTGTGAAGTGATCCAACCGAATCGAGCTATGATGCCCCAGTGTAGGAGGCATTCGCCGGCTGGGGTCTTGGTCAGCGAAAGATCGCTGCTCCACACGGTGATGAGGCACCCTTGTGGCCGTCGGCTTTGAGCACAGGTCTTCGTTGGGGTGAATCATCTGCTGGGGCCTTTCGGGAACAGGTCTAGATTGCGGTTTCCGCGGTGCCTCCATTTGCGGGGTCGCTATCGTGAGGGCCTCATGCATGCGTTTGACGGGCTCGTTCAGGTAATGGCTGGCTTGCAATGTCACAGCTGAAGGATCTGTGTTACCTTCATCCACTCCCAGCTTCTCGAGCGAACATTCTGCGACACTTGGGCAGCTATGTCCGTGACGGCGAGGACTTGTCCCGCCTTCCGTAATGGATTCACTTGAGAACGACATAATGTTTGACAATGGCTGCCGTGTGGGCTGCATTGCCTGCGGTGAAGCTCTCTCCAACTCTTCCTGGTGCTGGCAGGATAGATGCCCATTGTTCCCCGTTATAGTCGAATTCCCAGGATGCATTGAGATGTGCGGCATGAAGGTGTTGACTCGATCCTGTGACGCCTCCATGGGAAAAGAACCAGGCGGCAGAAAGTGCGGTTGCCTGACATTGGCTGAAACGATGAATTGCTCAGTAGAAGAGGCATACTGCGGTGGAAATGGGACCCCAGTGTTGTGAGGATAACCCTGCTGCTGCGCCGAATTGGGTTGGAAGTCGGGTATGCATGGCACTGGCTGCGAGCACGGGTGCATTGCGTGGAAGGCGTGCGGCGGGCATGGAGACTGGAGTGAATCGGGTAAGACATAAACTGGTTGCGACCTGAGACGGATGAACTTGTGAGATGTGTCCACCTCAAGTGCGTGAGAGAAAGCAACAAGTGCTCTGGCAACGTCGAGCGGATCTGAGACTCCTAAGAGGGCCATCCTCGGCCAACTGCATACCTCAGCGAGGAGCACCCAGCCATCGGCACCCATAATGTCCTGCAGGTGGCGATCCTGAGGGAGATTGAAGGGACTGAAATAGAACTCGACCTGCATAAGGATAGCGATCGTGTGTGTGTAAAAAGACATGTTGAAATGATAAAGATGTCCGTTTGTAGAGGTGGGACGGAAAGAAAGGTTCTTGGATCGACTGCAAGACTGATGCGGAAGGTTGTTGTAGGTAGTGAGGCGAAGGCTGCGGGTAGGTTTTCAGCAAAGATACTTTGTCTTGTTTGATTCAAAGCAAAGTTGAGAGTTTTGCACGAAATGTATGCAAGGAGAAACGTTGAGAGAGGGTTGGAGAAGTTATAGGAACGTGTGGAATTCGGAAGTGCGGATGAGATGAGGCAGAGCAAGTCAAGAGATTTGTGTTTGTGTGGGTGCGGCAGAGGAAGACAAGAGGGAAACAAAGGGAACTGGTGGTATTTATGTAAGTTGGGGAGAGAATGCAGAGGTTTGGGCAGGAAATGGCTGCAAGATGATGAAGGAGCGGCAGGAATACATCTGTTGAGGAGAGACGCGTAAGGGCAGATTGTATTGAGGGAGACTGGATTGCTTGTCAAATGCATATCAGCGATGAGAGGTGTTCAAGTGCAGTTGGTCGGGGCGAACACGGATGAATGATGGTAGACGAAGCGATCATGTCGGATTAATGTTTGAGAGGAAGCAGTGCTGAATACGGTGATGGAGCGGGCCGGAAGCCACCCTCAAAGTTGTGACGAAATCTGGGATTTCGCGTAAGACGGCAAGAGAGGCCCTTTGCCCGATTGCGATGACAACTGAATGGCGACGGAGGGGGGCTTCCGGTTGAGTCTGAAGAGTAGTGAAGCATGAAGAATTCCTTAAAGTTTAAGATCTGGAGGGTGCTGGGAAAAGACAGCGAAGGAGACGCCAGTGGGAAAAGACATGCGTCACTATTCTGAATTAAATGCAGTCCGTTTCCACTTCTCTGTTTTGTGTCTCGGCATGCAGATCACGACTATAAGTAGAGTAGCGTTACAGGTACAGTATTGGGCGTTTCTCATTCTAAACCATAAGGCGATTCTATTCCCACCTCCCTCTCTCTGTTCTGTGTCGTTCTCATATTTTGCCTTGCATACTCACTGAGACCAGACTCTGTTACAGGGGCGGTCCATGCAACAGTCACTCAATTTCGTGGAGACATCCGGCCGTACTTAGCTTCGGAGCCGTGACGGCGAGGAAGCCAGCTTAACATCCTTCTTACGTGGTACGACTATTTCTTTTTAGTGTGGACTATTTGTCTTGCAGAGGTACTGAACGAGCCTCTGCCGTTTTCCGGGTATCGAGGGAGAAACATTTACATACATTATACGTACCAGAGGGCGTTGATAGGACACAGGTGCCAACCGTGGACTGAAACGTCGGTTTATATAATGTTCTTTTGGTAAATCCACGAGGCACAATAGCGGAGTAGTTGACTCTATTTGTGTTTCGCGATTTCCATCCATAATCTGAAAAAAGGCATGGTAGAACAAGTTAATACAGAGCAGAGTGAATGAAAGATATAGAACATGTTACTAAGTTGCCTGTAGAGGCTTAGTCCTAGTTCTTCTCTACAGCTCGAGGCGGTAAATCAGTTTCTCAAGTCGGCATACACCGCATTCTCCCAACTTTTCTAGTAACAGTTTTTGAGTCCTGTCGGCTCTGAAGAGATTTTCAACCCTCGACCTGATAATGGTCATGTTCAGGCAAGGTACTGAATGACGCCAAGATGCGTCCATAAAGCAACTTATTGCGATGTTCGCACAACTGCATTTCTTTCGTCCTGTCCAAACCTTCTTTGAATATATAGAGGGCATTTAGTTGATGAATCTTCAAGCACTGCGGCGTTCCATTTGTGTTGGCGTTGTGCCTTTGGTGTAGGCACAACGCTTTTGCGGCAGGGACACACCGGGGTGGAGGGGATGCGTTTTGCTCCAATGACACGGGATCTTTCCCCTACTTTGACTTGGCAACTGTGGGCGTCTGCGTGCCTTGCATGTCGTCTCAACGGGCTCTGTGCGAACAGAAATGAACAAGCCTACCTGGGTTGAACTGCGTTTCGTCAGGCCTAGACCTGTTACCTGCTCCGCACATCATAGGTCAAGCTTGCGATTGTGCACAGTGATAAGACATCTTGCACGTGTTTGGCATCTTGCGACACTTTTGTATGGTGGACGACAGGACTACTGGGGTATTGTGAACAGGTCGATGATCGTAGTGTAGCCATGCTGCCTTCTTTTCTAGTTTTCGTTTCTAATGAAAGCTGTGCATGTGCTTCGAGAGCTCGTTCGCTTAAAGATTAGGATTGTTATACTTACAAATGAAGTATGAAAGGCACTCATTCCTTGCTTTACTTTATAGAGATCTTGAACAGCTTGTTCTGTGGCCTTGACGAAGCCGTGCTCATTTGGTTAGTGAGTCTCGCCTTCCGCGACAGATCCGTTTTCCAACGCAGTGCTTGCAGCCGCAGGAATCGACAGTTGGGTAGAGTTTAGTTCAGCGGGGAGATTGCTTGCAAATCTTGGTGCAGTTGGTAGAACTACTGTTTAACACCCGACATTGCAATCAGGTCATATGCATCGCCCTCTTAAGCCGAATTGCACATGAACAATTGAAATTGCAGTCACTTGAACCGGGGCTACCGTCTTTTTTGAATGGCTGGGGAGCGCCGACCATTGCACTGTCAGTAAAGACTTTCACGAGAGCTGTGGAAGGCGAGATGAGAATTCAAGAGGGGAAGACTAACACAGAGAGATATGAGAAGAGGGACGAGAAACGCCCTAACAGCATGGAAACAGTTTCCGCTCTCTCATATGTGCATGACGAGACAGCACTCTACACTAGGAGGTGGGGTCGCGATGTATCCGATTCAGCTTAGATAAGAAAATTCTCCAAAACTGCGAGAAGAGGAGAAGGGCCCATCTCTATAGAATATATTGGGTTGCATGCCTCTCTTTGTATATTGACTCCTCTCTCTCTCTTTCAGCGCTTGTCAACCTTCAACCCTTCCACTTCATCAGCAACTTTACCACCATGTCATATCTTCACCATGATTGGTAGTGCTGCGTTCGTTTGCATCCTTTTGCTTTCGCCATCACACATGATGGCGAAAGCAGAAGGGTGCGTTTGCCACACTTATCATTTCTTCCGCCCCTTCGGCTTCCATGAGCACTCCCAAACCGGTTGCCGTCTCATTCTCGACACAGTGCTTTTTCCTTCCCGTATCAACTATCAACCCGTAATTTTCGTCGCTTGCGCTTCGTACGCTTCTATGCCTCGTCTTATCCTAGGCGATCAATGATGGCGGACAGAAGTCATCACGATTCAGATTAAGGTCACATTCCTCATCTTTCCATACCCACTCTCGATTGCCACTTCATCACGTTCCCTCCGAAACCAAAGTCCATGTTCCTCCGCACAATCATTTAAGGACCTCCCGTTCGTTCCGGAGCTTCCCCACAGACTCTCACAGCAAACAAAGCCCAAGCCCTCGACTTCACATTTGAACCCGTTTCACGCCTTTCTCCCTCAGCCTGTTTAATCTACACCACATAACTGTACCAAGCACCTCTCGAGCACTACTACAGCAATTCCCAACCACTCGGTTTCTTGCTTTTGGTTTGCATTACGGGGCATAGTCATCTACTGCTACTCATTCGCATCATATTTTGACTCGAGCCAAGGCCATCTGTTGTGCTACTTTTCTTCACTCTGAAATACTGCTTCAGAACTTTACTCGAGAAACCGTATCCTTGCTGAACCCCAAATTCGGCTTTCAAACATCATTTTTTCCCACCTCTGCTCTACTCTAGCTCATTTTCTAGACACCGGTTTCTGACCAGCCTGCATCTTCTTCGCATTCTGCTTCACAAAAGTTACCCTCACCGACCTTCACATAATCATCCCTTCCACCCACCACAGGCAGCTTCTTTCAAACATGTTTTCTATTCAACACACAGTTGCAGTCGTGGAACAAATTGAATTCTACTTTGGCCCCTTTAATCTCTCGCAAGACCCCTACCTCCTGAGCATAATCGGTGCTGATGGGTGGGTCCTGCTGGCCGAGATTTGCAGCTGGCCAAGAATGGCGCAATTGGGCGCCTCAGACCCCTTTCAGGTTGCCAGGGCTATTGTCTCCTTTTCGCTAGCGCTTGACGTGGACGCCTCATTCCAGTTTGTCCGCTTGAGGGGGAACCCGGCTTTCATAGTACCTGGGCCGTTCGTATCCTCAAGGCACCAGCCCCAACTCATCGTCCCCCGACATCCTCTGGCACAACACTCGCCTTACCCAGACTTCTGTGGATCACCACTCCCCCCACATGGTCACATTGGACATTCAGAGAGCTCGGGGACTACATTTCAACATCAGTACCCCGTGTGGCCGCAATCGCTGACTATGCCGTCCTGGTCAGTACAGCTTCCCGGCCGGCAACCTGTTACCAGCCCCACGGAAAATTCAACTCAGTTTTCTGATGCATGCCCCTCGACGAAACTGCAGGCTCGTGCTGGAAGCCCTGACTTGTCACACCAAGTTGCAGAGCTTCCATGTCAACCGGGACATTACTTGCCCGGCATCCATTTGCAGAAAGAACCATCTGCGCTGGCGGCAGCAACAGTAGATGATCCAAATCAAGGTGATTGCCAGGTGGAGAGACTACATTCCCCCCTCTCTGAGCACAGGTTAAAGTGCTGTATAGAAGAGGGAGCTAGTTCCGCAAGGAAGACTTTGCAAACGGCAGCAAGAAGCAGAGATGCTGCACGTGGAACGAAAACCAGCCCCCACGCGCCTGACCGAAGAATGCAGATGAACGGCGACACTAGACTGCTCCGCCATGAAGCCGTGAGAGATGGGCGGCACATAGAGCGAGGGCGCAGTCAAGATAAGCGGAAGCAACTGTTGTCATCAATTGGGCACAAGGGGTCTCAGAGAGATAACTTGCAAGTGCATGCCCACTGCCCTGGAGCAATCGAAAAGATGGCGTCCAACGTAAGCTCGGACGAAAATGATGCTAAGCGTCTTGGACAGGTTCGCACAACCGGACCGCGGCTCCGATGTTCGTCAACACATCACCGGCACAGCAAAGGTGCTGGCCTTCAGAGCTGTGAAGTGCACTCCTGTGGACCTCCTCATGACATGAAACATAGCAGGTGCATGCCCGATTCGCACCAACCGTTCATGGGCGCGACGAGCGCCAACGGCTTATCGAGCGGCAAGCGGCAAACGTCTCAGCGTTGGTATGGAAAAGGCCAACAACAAAATGGAGTTTGTCGAAGCCAGGAAAGCAGAAGGGATGGGCAGGGGGAGCACTCGCCTTTGCATCCAGCGAATTTCCCTGCGTTCCCACGAGCGCGGAAGGGAGGGTTCAATACAGGGTCGGAAAACTCGATCAAAGGGAGCGTACCAGTGCCCACACTAGCTGGTAAGGCGTGGGCGAAGAAACTCTCTTCGGTCGTCTGAAACGCATCTCTTCCACCTTGATGTACTCGCCTGTCTCGCTTCTAGCGGACACGATTTGACCGGAGTGCGGCTGGATGATGCATGGATCTACCTTAGCTTTCGGACAGAACGGCGTGAGGCGGCAGATTTCGGGTTCGACTGGCTATGCAGAGCGGTCGGTCTGTTTCAAAAAAATAAAATTTAGGAAAATTAAAAAATGGCAATCAAAAGAAATACTTCGCAGTTAAAAAAACAAGCAAACACGAAGAGCTATGATCGTGGCCTGCTCAACAGGAAAACGTGTCGTTTTGGGTCGTAGAAATTTGCGGGCAGCGCGATCGTTTCATTTCCCCATCTCAAGACGGGTGCCATCAAGCAGACAGTCGGCGCGAACGCGCGGGTCTCGTGGCCGTGATGTCGTTCACATATTTGCTGAGTGAGGTTGACTTATCGGGCACGGCTCTTTCGGGCCTTCTCCCTCTCCGGGACAAAATATGGAACGCTGCTGTTGAAAGGGCGGTGCGAGACGTAAAAGGCCGCGATGTAGACAAGGTTTCCAAGAGAAAAAGTGTGGCACTTGTCAAGGCATTAGCATCGCGCGAGGCAGCGCGAGATGCAGAGGAAGAGTTGCGGCGCAAGAAGACAAAGGCCAACATCCTACACGCTTACATCTCCCTGGTTGTCAATGGCCTCACTAGAAAGATGAGCGATGCCATCCTCGGGAAGCTTGTCTTTTTATCGCGAATCAATCGCAAGTTTATCTGGACCACAACAGCTGTGGAAGAGGCGGCTGCCATAATGAACCACGTATATCGCAAGTTGTACCTTTGTCCGTGCACCTGGATGCATTCATTGCCGGTTGTCGTCGTTGCTGCTGTCGTGGAGACCTTTCACCAGAATTCTGAGGCCCATGATCTATCCTGGTGGCTGTCGCGGAAGCGGTGCAGAGAAGTCTGGCGACGGGCCACTGAGCTTTGCGGGCCCAACACAGACGAAGAGATGGTGAAGCGCGTGCGTGCAGCGTTTTTGATGCTGGTCATAGTGTTGCGGGCGGCAAAGGGGTTTCCGGGAAGCACAATGATAAGCTCTGATTCGTTTCCTCTGGATCCCTCTTCAACGAATGGTAAGGCAAGCACACGAACAGATGTAATTTTTATGAATGAGCGGGAAGTGCGCGACTTGATTGGGGTTTTAAATAGGGCGGGTATGACGGATGCAGGGAAGGAGCTTGAATCCAGGCTACAGTTTGAGTGCGCTGTGGCTCGGCTTGATAGTGCTAAGGAAAACAAGGAGTTGATGCAGTGGTGCTCCTACTCTGCAGAAGAGGAACAGGCGATTGTATCCTGCGCGAGCTCTGTTGTGATTAGGATATCGCAGGTGGTCAAGTCTCTCGCGCAGATGGCAGGGGCTTTGAAAAGAAGTATGGATTTCAATGAGCTGGTGCAGAAGGTGAGCATCGATAAAAAGGATTATGCTTACCCATTTTTGCTTTCGATGCTTCTACGGGACAGTGCAATGTGTGTTTACAAGGATATATCACTTGGGGACTGCTGCGACTCAATAACAAGTCGGGTTTCTGATAATGGAGATCTGATCAGTCTGAGGACGGGTATGAAGCGAGGAAGCAAGATGTGGAAGAACCGGATTGTGCCGATTGAAGATGGGGAAGTAGAGGGGCCCATGCGCAAAAAGCGGCTTATACGAGAGAAGGAAGGAACAAGCAAGGGGAAGTCTGGAAGTAGTTTTGAAAACGGTGGTGGGAATGTTGTAAAAGGGAAGGAAGCAAACGAAGACAACAGCGGGGACAAGACTATGACTATTGAGAAAGGGAACGATGCCGGGCCCGCGACCGAGCGCGGAAGCGAGACACGTACGGTGGAAGTGGAGAGAGTGGCTGGCGGGGCAAAGGCGCAACAGGAGAAGGGAGGGGATCTAGAAGACGAAGGTGGACGGAAAGGAAAGGATACGACAGACAGTAGAGTTGCTCCAGTTGTGGCACAGACGGTGGCAGAAGAATGCAATGGACATGCGGGGCATGCAGGATCAAAGGGGGATGAGCGCAGCAAGGCTTCAAGGCACGGCGACGAGAAAGGGGCCGGATATAATGGAGCAGGCGAGGAGAGAGGGAAGGAAGAGAATAGTGATTCGGGAAGCGACTCAAGCAGCGAATACAGCAGCGATTCCGAACCTGACAGGAACTCGAGTTAGATGAGCACGTGTACACGTGTACGGATTTGCACGTGTGCGGATTTGGAATGTACAGTAGTGCCGCACATGACGTGTGGGGGGGGGGGTGAGGCCCGCTCGGTTAAGTTACCTGGAGTGCATGTGTACAGCACTGAATGGTGTGGTACTGTACTGCTGCTGGATGAGGATGGGCGTGCAGGTGCGACGTGCATGTGATGTCACAAATACGCCCCATTTTTGCAGTCATACGCGTTCGGTAGCGCCGCCTACGTATTACCGTACTGACACGTATGCCACGACCTCATTCCAGCACCGAACGCTTATCTCCTTCTGCTTGCTGCTCCCTCCGTATCGACACAA